AATTTAAGGGAGGGTATTTAGGTAAAAAAGTTTTTAATTCATTTGAATTTTGTACCTAAATACAAAAATATTTATAAAAATTGTACTTAATAGAGTAAACAACTTATCTATATACTTTTACTCAAATAAGTCAAAATATTTGTACCCACACCCAAAAAATCATAAATTTTAAGTTATATAAAAAAATTCCCAACAATTAAATCTAATCAAAATTTTTATTGCAATCATTTGAGCTTATAATCCTATCCATAACATTAAAAACTTAGAAATTAAAAAAATACTCAAAAATCAACTCATTTTTACTCTCACTCACTCTCTCTCTCTCTCTCTCTCTGCGATAAAAAAAAATAAAGAACAAAAACAAAAATTAAAATTAAACACGCTCTCTCCCTCTCTATGGTAAAAAACAAAAACAAAAGTTGAAATCTCTTTTTCGACAATACTAACACATCCTTCTTTTATCTCCCTCTCACATAGAAAATTAAAAATAAATTAATATTTTTTAAAAATAATATTAAAAATAAAAAAACTTTCATTTAATATTTCCTCTTTAAGCCTCAAATTGACTTGAGCCATCCCCGACATGTGTTCTTGGCATTGGATTTGAAATCACTTGATCAATAGCTTAGGATAAAAATTAAAAAAGAAAAAGAATATTTCCATCGTGTTAATCACTGTACAAGATGAATATAAAGGTAGATATAAATCATTGGCAAAGGCTGTGCAAGTTATCAGTGGTTTCTGGAGGAATTGTTCTAAATTTGGGAATACTTGTTATTACTTAGTAAGAAAGATGAACAACATTTATATGTAAATTCATCCTATAGATGAGTTGGCTTTTTGTTTCCATGGGTTCTCTTTTTGTTGATATTATTTTAGCTGCTTGTCGTAAATATATATACTTATATATATTTGGTTCAACTATTTTAGTTTATCCCATCCTTGGTCACCTTTGTGGATATTTTGGTACTTTTTTTTTTGAAAGTATTTGGTGGTTTTCAATCTCAATTTTTGTGAATTCTGTTGCATTTCAATTGCATATACTAGAGATATGTGTAAGTGAAAAATATATTCAAACTAATAGTAGAGTCTCGTATATATAACTAAATAATAGAACAAAGCAACCTAAACACCCTTGTAGTTCAGACAAAGTATAAAAGTCATAGTAAAGGTAAAAAAGAGAAAAAAAAAATCTAATAAACTAAACTATAACTCCAAAACTCTCCTTCAAGCTAGACGCAAAAATATAGACTAAGCCAAGATTGACAACGGAGTCTCAGAGAAAAGATCGAGTGACAAGTTTGGTGAAAATATCCACAACTTGATCACTAGTCTCCATAAAAAATAGAGTGACAATACCATAGCTAACCTTCTCCCGAAGAAAATAAACATCGATCTCTATGTGGTTCATCCTCTCGTGTAGTACAGAGTCAGAAGCGAGCTGAATAACAAATCGATTATTACAATATAATGTAGATGAAGAAGTCATTGAAAATCCTAACTCGCCAAGAATCAATCATAGCTAGATAATCTCACACATGTCAATTGTCAATGCCCGATACTTTGCCTCCACTGACGAGCAGGAGACTACTGCTTGTTTTTTGCTTTTTCAAAAGATAAGATAAGTCCCTCAAAAAGCACAGAAGCCTGTAGTAAATCAACCCTAACACGCTCCTCCATAATCTGATTCTGAATAACAGACTAGAGAACCAGTCTGAGATCCTGATACATAGAACAACCTAAGTCCATGACAAAACTTGAGGTACCGAAGAATATGATAAACTGCATCAAGATGAGGCTGACACGACCTGTGCATGAACTGACTAACTCGGCTGACAATAAATGAAATGTTTGGCCTAATGTTGGCTAGGTAGATGAGTCTACCTATCATTCTCTGATAGATAGTCAGATCTCTCAACTCCTTACCTTCAATTGTAAGTTTCAAGTTTGAAATTATGGGTGATTTTGTCAATTTGCACCCCAGCATCCCAATGTCCTAGAGAAGATCCAGAACATACTTCTTTTGAGAAAGAACAATACCCTTACTACTACGGACAACCTCAATTCCAAGGAAGTATCGCAGAAATTTAAGGTCTTTCACATTGAAAGCATTCCCAAGATCTACCTTGACCTGTGCAGTCTCAGAAACATCGTTCCTAGTAATAATAATATTATCTACATATTAATTATGTGCAGTGCCAGAAATATCATTTCTAGAAATAATAATATCATCTACATATTAATAATATCTTCTACCTTGACCTGTTGGAGTTGTCACTGGAAGGCTGTTGGGTTATTGATTCCACAGGTCTTTCTTCTTCTTATTTTTTTTTTCTCTTGCCCTATTTTGATTGCCTACATATATATGTATACAAAGTAAAGAAATCCTACGATTCCTCAAATTCAGTAAATACATTAATATCCCTTTCTAAAAAAATGTTACAAATTAACCTAAAAACTAATATTATATATATTTTTTAAATTTAGGATATTACAGAAAACTTAAGTGACTAAATGTAGTTAAAGAGAAAATTATAAGCGGGTGGTTGTAAGTGGGTCAATTAGAAAATACATGAGGGATAATTATGATATTTTATGAGGAGAAAAAGTCATGAGTGGTTACTATGTATTATAGTTATTTTACCGGTGGACACTATAGATACTTTGCATCATCTTTTCTGACGTATTGATTTTAATTTAGATCAATTTGACGTAAGTATCAGAACGTGTCCCAAAACCTTCTAAACCAATCATTTCCTAATTAATTTTCTCAGCTTTTACTCAACTATTATAAAGATTACCCAAAAAATGAACTAAAAAGTCATATGAGGAAACAGACAACAACTATGCAACACCCGTTTCAGATAACCCAAGATCTCTCTCTACCTCTTTTCTCTCTCATAGTCACAATTACAGGCACAGGCACAGACACAGACACAGACACAGGCAGATAAACCTTGATATAATAGATAGACATTAACTTGTCTCTAACATATCAATTGGAGTTCCGTGGGGCTTGCGAGAGACAAACGGGTGACTGCTAAGACAAAGAGAAGGGACAGAGAGAGGGGTAGATGTGACATTTGAGAGTATGTTAATCAACTTATTTGATATTGAAATTTGTGCTCGTGCTTTCGATTATAAATATGTAATTTAACTTGTTATCTGTACTAGTAGATAAATATTAAATTGACGTGATGTGGTTTGTTAGACCAACCAAAAGTAGACAATAACGCATTCTGTTAATAATGACCGAAGTAATGACTCATGTGATATGATATGCTCAGCCTCGGAGCTTTGTCAAGAGAGATGAGCTCTAATATCTCTTCGGTGCCTACAGAGGGCTTTTGGAAATTTCATGTTGAGTGACATTGTGCTCGAAGTTGTCACAAGTAATGTACTAGGGTCTCTCCGGCGTTATCATGAATGCCGATAACGAATCTTTTTAGTGCATACCAAAGATTGTTGACACTGAGAGGCCGATGGGGGTGAAAAATTGTTGACTTTACATGTCGATCACTTCAGTTGACATGTTGAAAGACAGCTTACTTTGCACTGGGAACGCCACCTAGGAATAAGTGAAGGAATGTCTGTCAAATGGCATGGGCCCATTTCCTGATATTGTCAAATCCAACTGGATCATTGGAACCAATCATGTAAGAGGTTTTTAAAGATGTAATTAATGCTCTTCATGAGCATATGACAAACGAGTCATAGGGGTTTAATGCTCATGGGCCAAGGACAGGGAGGACATTGATCCCTCAAATTTACTTCTACAGAGCGTGTTGCTTAACATTAAATCTTGCAGTGAATACTCAACAAGAGTATTAATGATCGACAAGTATTTGTATGTTGAGGGGCCTAATGTCATTAATGCATGCCATGCCTGCAAGGGATCGAGTATCAAAGTCAAAGGGGTGTCTTGCTAGATGCCCAACCACCTAACGAGGTCAAAGAGACATCCATTGTGAGCTAATCAAGGGCCCTCCCACCAAAGAAGATCATACTGATGTCCTCGATAAACGTACTCGTTTATCAAGAAAGTATAAATAGTACTCTTAAGTAAAAACAGACGGTACACTCTCACAACCTTGCATTGAATATTATGTCTTATTCCCTCCCTAGAGACTGACTTAAGCATCGAAGGGAAATCACCAGAGATACCTCCGGCCTCCCTTTTAACCATTTTTCTTGATCCTTAGGTTTTTTGTTGTCTCCAAGCTTGAGAGCGATCTTCGAGTGTCAGTGAAAGTGTTGCTATCTCAATATTGTGTAAAAAATACCCACACATAAACAAACAATTTTATGGAGGGGTTGAAAAATAAAAAATAAAAAATTAGAGAACATTTTATTGTCTATTGTCAAATTGAAAAATCATTTCATTCTCTTTTTTTTTTTGGTCAGAACATCTCATTCTCTTTACAGTACCATTTTTCTAGGTGGGGCCAATTCAATTTTTGGGAGGGGAAAGGTTAGCTACGCCCCGAGTATAACTTAATTTTAATTTAATTTATTTAATTATTTGTGTCAAATTAAATCAACATGGGAACAATATATGCAACATGATTGTCAAATTGATAAATATATCTATATAATAAAACAAGAGTGTGTTTGAATTTTATCTCAATCATATTTTTTCCTTCAATACCATCACCAATCACTTACCTCACCCATCATTCTTTTGTCAGATTCAAACGTTAAATCGCATTACTCATTTCTATCACATGTTTAATCATTTATATATTTTCTCCCTAAAAATATCATATCACTCATTTCTATCATATATTTAATTATTTAATATTTAATTAATTTGTGGCTAATATATTTTGAAAAAAATTAAAATAGTGAGATTGATTTTTTAGATGCTCGAATTTTATATTTTTTCGTGCCTTCAGGCACGGGTTATGACTAGTATATATATATAATAAGTAGGTTATTACATATTAAATAATTTTTTTTTAATTTTAACACAAATTACAATATGCGATATAAAAGTAACAATGGGTAAATGACATGATACGATACGAATTGATAACTGATCCCTTATGTCCAATAATACACAGATTACCTGCCCTGGTATTGTGGGATATAAAGTATGGATGATACAAGAAAAGGTGAATAAGAATATGTAGGTAATCACTAAAATAGGAGAAACAAAGGTGGATTTCCTAACACATTATTTCTCCGAATCTATTATCAAAATACACCTCTTTTCAAACCAAAATATTAATTTATCGCACTTTTAAATTTATTTACCGATTCTATTATAATTTTTAAAAATGAAATCAACAATTTTACTTTCACCGTAAAGGCGAATTAACAAGAACACTTTTAATACTTATAAAAATGCCTTTCTCTTTTATTGTTGTATTGCTTTTTGAAAGCAAAATTGTTGATTTCTCTTGGCTGGATATTATCTCCTATCTTCTATTTAATTCTCTGCATTTATCCTCTTCGCCTCATCTAGATACAACTAGAGTCTTGCAGCTAGGCTCTGGTTTTAGCTGGCCTTTATGTTACAGATGGACTCATTGCACTTAGCTATTACCTGGCTTCAAACGTCCTGCAGCAGCTGCCAATGGAAAGCATTTCGTCATTCTGTCTGCAGCAGATGCATTATTTCCTCACAGTTCATGCTACTGTTCACATCACCATTCAGCTGGACTATTTTAGCTCATGATTGGGATTTCGTCATTTTGTTTGCTGGCTTTTCTGCAGTCGGAATTCTTCTACAGCTGGAAACTGTACAGCTGATTTGAAGGCTGTTGCTAGGAGTTATCTCTCTCAGCTGCTTAAGCTCGATATCCTCTTTACAGCTGGCCAGTTTGAATTAACACTCCAGCTGAACTTCTCCTTCAGCTGGAGTTTGCTACATCCTCCTATTTTATTGGCTGCCTCAGCTCTTTCAATGCAGCTGGACTCCTATTTAACTGGCCTATCCTTTACCAGCCGACCACTTAGGAATTTAAAAGCTACATGTTTAGGACTCGGTGTAATTTGACTTTTCAAATCAATAAAATTTTCTCCTACAGTTGAAATTCATAAAAAAAAATATTTAAAAAGTTATACTTAGGCAAAAAATACTCCAATTAAAGATAAAATATCAAATATTTTAAATTTTACAATCAAAATTTTATTTTTAATTTTTCTTAAAAAATCATAATAAGTATATAATTATACTATTTATTAGAATAAAACTAAAAAATCAAATAAGGGGTTAAACTGTAATAGACACGATATCTTATAGCTTTAATTGGGGGTCATCTAATAATTTAATTTGATTATTTAAATGACCAAACAAGCTATTATGAATTATTTAGACTTTTTTTTATTTTTTAATTTTATTCCAATCGATAGTATAATTGTATATCATAATTACAATTTTTAAGAAAAAATTGGATTTTTATTTTTAATTTTATTTCAATAAATGATATAATTGAACATGAATTTTAGTTGTAAAATTTAAAATATTTGATATTTTATTTTTGATTAGAGTATTTTTTGTCTATATATAATATTTTAAACTTGAGATGTCTAACTATTATACGTTTACAAATTTTAGGGAGCCTAGGTGTAATTTATTAGTAAATATACTAATGATGACAAGGTGTAAGTGTAGATACGTATAAACTTCAGGGCGTCTGTGTGTAATATTTCAAATATCAAGAAATTTGAATGATTAAGTGTTTTAAAACCTGACGGGGCCTAATAGGTCAACTCGATGAACCGGTGAACTGGTCCCCTAACCGGTCCAGGTCTGTTAAAAGACCGTTTAGGTAAGGAACCCGGACTAAACCCGTTAAATCAGTCATAAAGCGGTAAACATGTGAAAATCGGATGAGTTTACCAAATCGGCCAGTTTAATTTTATTTCTATAAATATGGGATTTTTTTTCATTTGGACATTTTTTTCCCTTTTGTTTTGTCCTAATACGTTCCAGACGACACAATCGAGTCGACTGAGCAGTGAGCAACTGTGTAGCATTGGTATGCTCAACTCTTTAGAAACTGCGTAGCATTTGTATCCAGCAACGTTAGGGATTCTTATTGATCATTATATATAATTGGCTGTAGATTAGTTAATTTATTTTCAGTTTCATTTATTTGAGTCTTTATGTTATGCTCATATGCTTTATTTTGTTTTCATGTGTCTTGTTTACTACAATTTGAGTTTAAACTTTGAAGAGTGTAAATTATGTAGATTATGCCTAGATTGATATATTGTCGAAGAGTTAAACTTAGACTTAGAGTCTTGAATTTCAATAAAAATATTTTTTTCTATTTAACTTTATAAGTTGTATTAAAAATTGAATACATTAAAATTAGATACATATTTGATAATTTTTCTCTATTTAATTTTACATGTGTTGATGTTATTTTTATAATTATTGTATTTTTTAACTTATTTATTATTATTTATAATTATTTTTTAATTTTTTATTATATTACCAATTCGACCAATAGTTGAATCAACGACCATTAATCCAACCCTTTCACCGAATTGATGTTTAGGCCGGATTTTAAAACTATTCGTTCCCGTTTCTCTCTAAATTCTCTCTCTCCCACAAAAACCCCACACCAAAATCAACACGCACGCCACACCACACTACACAGCCAGCAACACAACACAACACCGGCGGCCAACAAGCCAGTGACGTCATCCAATCGAACGTCCACTGCCATCTCTCTTTTCCAGGTATCTCCCTCTATCTATCACTCAATCTCTCTGCGCATCTTCCTCCCTCTCTACACCCCTTCCACCACCACTGTCTGCCTATCTCTCAATCTCTCTGGCCGCCCCTATTGTCGCTGCTCTCTCACTATGCCCACCATCCTCATCAGGTACAAGATCTGTCATTCACCCCCCCTCTCGCTCGCTTTCTATTTCTCTGCCAAAGCAGACTAGGTTCTTATTTGTGGGTTAGGAAATGAGTTTGGGGAGGAGCCGTCTAGGGGTTTCAGGGGATGGGGTGTGAAGGGGGAAGAGTTGCTGTAGGTGGTAGTTTGCCCTTCTTTCTTTGAAATCGACTTCATTTTGAACTTTGAATTTTTTGTTTCAAGTGAAGAATTGGGTTTTGATTTTATGGTTTTGATTGAATTTGTTGAGTTACCCTGAATTAGGAGAGTGATGGTTGTGTGCAGTGGTGGGGTGGTGGTTGTGCCCATAAATTAATTTGTAGATTTATAGATTTTTGGGTTTACTCTCTCTCCCTCTCCCCACCACTATAGCCCCACCCCACAGCTCCTCACTGCCTCTCTACCCTGTAAACTTTATTTGATCAAATGAATCAATCAAACCTTAATTCCAAGATCTAGAACAATCACGATGTTTACATATTCATAGAGGAATTAAGACATCATAAGTTTCCTACCTGAAGCCATTGATATAAACCTTTAGTTTCTTGAACAACAAGAAGAGTATTTTGGTATAACTTGAAAATCCAGTTTCTCTCTCCTAACCTTTAACGCAAGATACACAAATCAATGGGGACATATGCACATTTATTGGTAGGTAGAGAGAGGATCAATTTCCCAAATTAACATGAACTCCACTTCTCATCAAAGTAGGATATCAGGAAACTAATACTTCTCTTTGACCAATAAGAAAACATCAGTTACCTAGTTAGTTTGGGATTGACAACTTTATCATTATCTTGACCCAAGCAATTCATCGATTAATTAGTAATTAATAAGTATCACATGTGCCAAAAATCATGTGGGCCACATTTAAGTCTTACATTTTCCCACTTGGCTCATATGACAATCTTACAGTTGAGTCTAGCAATGTTAACATATGCGCACATTAAATCCAATCCATCACTACTTAATTTGGTCATCATAATATCATAATTAAACAACCCACTAATGCAAGTCATGGCGGTTGTACATCATTAACGCGATATATTCCATTCCATGTATCACAACACTAACAACTTATCTAACGTGTTATATATTTGAGAAGTATGTATAATAAGGACCAACAATAATGTGAAGGTTATTCTTGTTATCATTCATTCAATCTCATATATGTACATCATAAATAGTTTAAATAAGAATTATAAGTGTTGAATAAATAACTGGTATGCAAAATTCACAACATTAAGTGAACAACCATCATGAGCTACAATCAAAGCTAATTATGTTAACACTTTTCTTAAATGCCTTTAGTAACCTTTTCCTTAATGGATTTGTAATCATGAGCTTCATACTATTATGCTCTACAGACACTTAGCAAACAAACACATATGCGAAATCATTACGATAAGTTCTCAACTGTTTGATCATATTCAATCTTTGTAGAATTCTTCTCACCAGATCTTTCATTTAATATTTATAGAGAGAAGTTCGGTTTCATGTAATAATCTAAGATTACTACTGACAAACAATACAACAATTTCAATATATAGAATTAACAAAAACTTGCTCCTACTAACCTTAACATTTATATACTCCAATAATGGTGCTTTCGTTAATATTAAAAGAAGTAATGATATCATTGAACTTAAAATACCATGGTGGAAAAACCTATTTATATCTAAATATTGACTAATTAAGTTTGCAAACCAAGTGTTACTTCACTTATAAAAACCCTTTAGGTTAATCTTTATAGACTTTTCCAGCTAAACTTGATTAAGAATAATTTTTACATTCATATGGTATAACTCTAGATCTTAATAAGCAACTAATGTCATAATAATTTTTAGTGAGCCCTTCTTAGATACATGATAGAAAGTCTCTACGTAATCAATACCTCATTAATGAGTGAAACTGTTGGCTATAAGTTTGACTTCATATCTTATAAGATTTCAAACTTTAGTTTGGTCATTGGATTTCAATTAATCATTCACGACATCAATCCAATTAGCAAAGTCATCACTTTCTATAGCTTGTGAAAATGAAATCAAATATTTACCTATCCTTAAATCAAAGCCAAATTCTTATAAATATATAACATAATCATTCAGAATAGCTTATCATATTTCCATTAGAGATCATCTTAATGCTATTCATGTGATTTTTCTACTCTCGATTTATTGGTGACAACCTCAGTATGGAGTGGTTAATCATTAATTTTTTGTTCAACAATGTGAGATCATTCAACAATTGTGAGAACACTACCATCATTACAAGTTATGGGTATTAGGGCTTTTATCTTTACTTTTTTAATAACTACTTTATGTAATTTATCACTCCTACTGATTTCACCATTCTTAATGAATTTGACATTATTGATCTTTACGATCTTTGTACTATGGGTAGGATAGTAAAACTTATTCCTTTTGGATTTTTCAAGGTACCCAATGAAATAACCCTTGATTTTTTTAAAATTTAATTTCATCATATGTCTCAAACTCCAAGAACATTCATCCATAAAATAAGAATAATGAGAAACCATGTAATATATTCCGAAGCATTTTCACTATGTATGCTTATTATAGCTATATCATTATGTTATGGTGTACCGAACATAGCATGTTAAGTAGAAATATCATATTTTTCAAGGAGTTTAATAAATAGATATGGTCATTATCTTTAATCATCATACCTTCCATAATGTTGACCACTTATCCGATCTGATGACTTTCACCTTTCTATATATCTATTTTTCAAAATTAATAATATATACCTTAATGACATTCTCTACTTGAAATTTTTATGTAGCATATTGAGATAATCATAATGTGAAAAATCATCCATAAATGTGATAAAAATTCGTTATGTGCCTGTATGGATAAGTTTAAAGAGTTTTACACTTGTAACACTCTTGTTAGTGTTTTTGGTTCATTTTTCCTTACTATAATCTATACACACCAAAATCAATAAAATTCTAGATTCAAAATAAAGTCATCTTTGACTAGTGTCTTCAATCCTTCTCTTATTATGTGACTAGGTCACAAAATGAAAGAATTTTTTCATTAATTAAGCTAAGATATGTTCCAGACATTGTGATGCAGGGTTAGGAGAGATTCATAAAAGAAATCATCAGCCTTTAATTTGTACA